ACAGGACAATTTCAAGTGGTTATATCACCCAATCCGTGCTGATCTGGCTAGAGGTGTAGTTGACAAAGTTGGAGATCTAAGTGAGTATTTCAACTTTGTCAATTGGAGCTCCAGCTGGTTCAGCCTAGTTAAGGAGATACAAAGCTCCAAACATAGGTGGTCGAAACTAGAAAATCAGACATGACTTGAAAATTTTTCAGAGTTTTGAATACAGCCCTAATTCTGACTTGTGGGACCTTTTTGAACATGTTGTGCACATTTTCATGAGATGGTCATAAAAGAACTTTTATTCCACATATAATTCTCTACAACTTTGCTTTAGGTTGCTCAGACATGCAAACATCCTAAGCTACACTTTTTAAACAGTCAAACACAGAGCTCGAGGGGTCCAATTTGGTCAACCCTGACTTGGAAACCTAATTAGGCAAAATGATCAACATGAACATTGTTCCTAATGACATTCTAAGTATGACTAAGGTTCTTAGAAGGATATTTAGCCACACCATACGTTGGTCACACAAGAATCAAGCAAGGTATGTACTGAAACAATGAAAAACACATGAAATGTTACAATTGTTTCATAGTCATGTTTCACATGTTTCATGATCTTGTTGCATAGTACTAACTAACCATGTTTCACTAAAGTGTGTTGTATATGTTTGCACTTGAGTGTTGCACCCTATTCATTTCATAAACAAACATACATGATATATGACCATATGCTACAATGTTTCAAGAGCATGTTTCATGCAATATGAACTCATAAATGGATGAATGATGCTCATGTTTATGAAATGCAAGTGCAATTGTGGAAGCCAAACACCTGGAGTGTTACAACTTGTCTCGTGTTTAGCATCGTAGTAAGAACTGAAAGATGAAAGATGGAAGATGGAAAAGGAAGTCTGATTGCTTACCACCTGCTTGAAAGTAGTACAGGTGCTTATATAGAATGGTTAGTTAATGAACCAATGCGGCTATTAATAAAAATCGAATATAAGGACACACACTTAGTAATGCTTTCTGCAAATGCAACCCACAAGCCAAATAGTCTTACATATCCTTGGAGTCTTTTCTTTCCTCCTGTCGGGTAAGTCTTGCTGAGTACAATTGAGTACTCAAGGTTTTATTCCCCCTGTTGCAGGTGACAGGTGGATGTTAGAGCTGACCTTTGTGTGTGGATACCTCCTGGTGGGCTCAGCGAGGATTCCTTTACGCTATGATCGTAGTTGTTATTTATAACTCTCACCAAATGCTTTTATAAATGAAAGTTGCATAATCATGTTATCGTAGTTTATATATATCAATACTTCATCATGGCATTAATAGATGTTTATTTCCGCTGTAACTCTGATCACATGTTTATATTCCGCTGTTCAATTAAATTGTTTATAACTCTGATAATATGATTTTATTCCACTGTTATATTAATAAATATTATACTATGATGTTGTATTAAAAGTGATGTAAGAAATGGTTAAGAATGATGTAAGCTTTATTCTCTCATTTGTGATACTGATGGCGAAAATATGGATTTTCGGGTTCTCCCCTGGGGTGTACCCGACGGAACAGAGTAATTTAGTGTTCTCCCTTAAGTGCTTAGTGTCTAATGGAAGACAAGCACTCCTGTAAGACATTAGATTAGGCGGTTCTGCCACAGGTGGTATTAGAGCGCAAATGAGAAAATACAGCTTCGAAAACCTTTTCTAAACTAAAATTTGACAACAAACTCTTTTCAAAAAGTTAGGGCGTCTTTATGTGAAGTTATATAAGTAGCCCTATTCCTATGGTTATGTATCCAGGAGAATTGACCGGGGCGTCCGGTCACCTCGCAGAGGCACATAACGGTTTGTTTTTCAGCCCATGTTATAAATAGAAGCTCCACTCGTGTGTGGAGTCACTTTTGCTCATTCCAACAACTGAAACACACCTTAGAGAGTGCCAAGAAGAGTAAGATCCTAGTGAGGTGATTGAGATTTGAGAATCCCAAAGAGAGCCCTCATTAGTAAGATCAAGAGTAGCAAAGTGTGCATCATCTTTCTCCCTAGGCTTGTCGTGGTCAAGTGAGAGTTCGTGCTTGTTACTCTTGGTGATCGCCATCACCTAGACGGCTTGGTGGTGATTGGAGAGCTTGGTGATCATCCGGAGAGCTTGTGGATGACCCAACTTAAGTTGTGAGCGGTTATGGATGATTCACCGCGACGGAGTGTTGAAGAATCAACCCGTAGAGAGCACTTGATCCTTACGCGGATCAAGGGGGAGCTACACCCTTGCGCAGGTGCTCCAACGAGGACTAGTGGGGAATGGCGACTCTCCAATACCTCGGCAAAACATCGCCGCGTTCCTCCTTCTCACTTTACTTTGAGCAATTCAATTCTTGTCATTTACATTCTTAGAATTGCCATGCTAGAGTAGGATTGGAACATAGGTTGTAAGTCTTTTGTGCGGTAGAACAATTAGAAACACTTTTTAGGCACAAGGGGTTAATTGGGCTAACCGTAGGATTTAATTATTGCAAAGAAATTTAGAATTAGCCCAATTCAACCCCCCCTCTTGGGCATCTTGATCCTTTCACGTCGGACAGGCGGCAGATGCGCACGCAAATCTTCTCAATCGCCCGTATTTGGTGGATTCGTTTAAATCCCACAGCCGAGGGATGGCCGTAGCCTCATTTGAGGCACAACACGTTACAAATGAGGTTTTGTTTTGTTTTAGGATAATAAAGGGGATGCCCCCATTTTCTGGGCTGGAATGGTCCTAGTTCGATGTTTGGTCGAGAGACGGAGTCATCCCTGTTTTTTTTGTTCTCCCTGTCCTTTTTTATGGTTGGGAGGATGGATAAAGAGGATACAGCACTGTTACACATCTGTTTAGTGGGACCCACATGTCAACCTCTCTCTTATCCCTCCTTCCCCGAGTCAGCAATCTTCGTCACCCAGTCTGCTGTCCCGGCCACGCCCACACCGCTTAGTACGCCACCCGCACCCATGCCGCTCGCGACCAAGGCCGCTCACGCGCAGGGCCGAGGCTGCCGGATCCACTCCGCTTGCCGGGGGTCACCGCTCCGCTTTGTCGGGGGCCACCCGCTCCACTCCACGCACTGGGCAGGGGCCGCGCTTGCGCCAGGCCGAGGCTGGCCAGGCGCGCCATGGCCAAGCTCAGTGTCGTAGAAGATGAAGACAGTAGACTTGAGACAACAACGTCGCCAAGGGACGAGCGCGTATCTTAGTTCCGGAGGGATAGTTGAGTCCTTGAATCTCGAAGAATATTCCTGCTGGGGGCGGTTCTATCCCACCTGTCCGTGAACCAAACACGAAGTCCCTTCCCGCCCCTGAACCAGACACATCGGTTGTGTTTGGTTTTCGACTAACTTCCAGACTGGCTAGATGGCAATCTTAGCCTGCTCCCATCAAGCCTTAGCCGCCAACCAAACAGGCTTAAGTTGGCTCCAGCAAATCTGGCTAGGAGATAGCCAGGGAACCAAACACAACCATCGTAGCGAAGGAAAGGAAAAATGCCGGTGGCTGTGTGCTCTGCCTTCGAACGGTTAGATCGAGTGGGCGCGCTATACAATTAAGCTCCTAGCAATTTTTCTTAAAGAGTGCCAGAAGCCTATTACTACATACTACACCAGTATAGTATGCAAACCTGGTTAGGAGATAGCCAGGGAACCAAACACAACCATCGTAGCGAAGGAAAGGAAAAATGCTGGTGGTTGTGTGTGTGGCTGTATGCTCTGCCTTCGAACCGTTAGATCGAGTGGGCGCGCTATACAATTAAGCTCCTAGCAATTTTTCTTAAAGAGTGCGAGAAGCCTATTACTACATACTACACCAGTATAGTATGCCGCTGTTGCATGCACCCGTATATGTCGCCGTTGCATGTTGTACACGTGCACCTATATATGGCAAGAAATAAGCCATTCTTGAATAGTAGATATCTTGTATACATTTGCAAGTTTATTGCCTTTTCGGTTTTCTTTTTCTAAACGTTTTAATTAAATAATAATTATTCCCTCCATCCAAAAATAAACGCACATAACACTTTTCGAGGAGTCAAACTCTTTAGTTATACAGAAAATAGTATCAATATTTATATCTTTAAATAAGTTTTTATGAAAGTATGTTATACGATATATATATATATATATATATAATGATGTTTACTACACATGGTGAGTATTAGTATTTTTGTGTATATATTGGGTCAAACTTAAATGAGTTTGATTCCTCGGTAACCGAGATATACACTTATTTTGGGACGAAGGTATTGCATGCAGTTCTAAAGTCAAGGGCTAAGATTTATCTGAGACCTTACCTCCAATGGGGTAATGGCCCCGTTCGCTTCGCTGAAAAAATAAGCCGAAACACCTGTTCCGGCTGATTTGTTGCAAGAGGAAAAATACTGTTCCGGCTGAAAAAACCAGCCGAAAAAGACGGATTATGAGAAGCGAACAGGGCCATGGGAGTACCTTAGCAGGACCCTAACAAATACACACATGTCGCAGCAAAGTTGGGTACATGTCAGATGATTTGGGGGAAGGAATTAAGAAATGTTTGACAATGTCATCGAACTTCAAATGATCCCCTGATTTCCAAAGTGCAACTCTTAGTCTAAAACAGAGTAATGACAAGTCTGACACTATATATATCTTTCAGAGCACGTATCAACTACCAAGGTACTAACAAATCAACTCCATGTCTCCAGGTGCAATACTATCAAACGTATATGAGCAGACAGATGGATTGCTAATCAATTGAACTAGATGACATCTGCTTGCATTGCTAGTTACAGTAGTTAGTATTTACATTGCAGCAAAAGATCTTCAAATGACAAATGGCCCATGCCAATCCGGAAGATATATCTTTCAGAGCACGTATCAACTCCTATCTTGTCTTAGAGCAGTCTGAGACACGGCCATATTAGCAACATCTCTGGGTTTGAACCATGGATCAGTGCCTGGCAAAGATGCGAGTGGCATGTTTCAGAGTTGCAGGAGTTGTTCATGTCTGCAGATAGATTGCTGTTCCAATCAAAAGGACCCACAAAGTAACAATCACCCATGCACTCTTCTTCCATTCATTTGGCAGTCGCAAGAAAGAGAAGTCTCCAAAGATGTTTGGAGAAGGTTGAACTTGGTTGCTAGCAGCAATCATCTTTCTTTTCCTGTCTTCTTGTTCCTTGATTTTGTCACTCCATGTTCCAGCATACCTGATTCACATAACGCCAAGTATCATGATATAGTAAGATATGAATGAGATTGTGGATCACTCTACATTGCTTGAAATGAAATCATGGGGATAGATAAGCAGCATCATGCAAAACTGAAAAGCCTTCCATGGAAGGGGATGCTTTGCAACTGTTTACAATGGTGGCAATCATCTCCAGTTTAAGCATTTAAATCAGGTACTAAAGAATGATGCATAGTAACTAAAGAATGATGTATGGTAGCTAAAGAATGATGCATAGTAGCTAAATCAGGGGTAAGAAAAGGTTATTGGTTCTAGGATGTATAGTAGCTAAAGAATGATGTCAACAAAGATAACCAGGTAGCTATATCTTCTCTATGGAAAGATGTGTCACGAACACTTGTCATAGCCCCATGCAGGTTTAAAGAAACAATGAAAAAAAAAACTAGACATTAGTTACAAGCTGAAGGATTCACCATTCAGCCTTCAGTCAAAAAGAGAATGATATAAGAATATAAACACCATATGAGTGAGATTTCAAGCAGATCACAAGCACCATACAGGCAAAAAGATACAGATAAATATACATAATTTCAATAGAAAGAAGTGTTTGCAGATTTGACGTGACTACAACTTCATATTTATCTGGCTTTTCGCAACCGGCAAAGTTCCTTCACGCAAAGTGATGGTGAACGCGAAGAACCTCTTTATTTGGGTAGAACAATTATAAGGCACCAACAAATTTATGCCCACGTACACAAAAAGTAAATTCCAGAGCCAAATGGCATAGAGACGGGGAAGGGAAATAGCAGAGTCTCAAATAGATAACTAACCAATCCCAGCTGCTCCCAATTTGTGGTATTGTGACCACCTCGTCATTTGATATCTTCAACTTGGGTGCCTCTAAAATGTATCTAAGTTCAGCTGCCTGCCGCCTGATGTTGATCATAGGGTGGCTACTCTCCAACTCTTTGTACAATGCAATGCAATCCGTGTGCCTCCTATTGGCTTCATATGCCATTGCAAGCCAAATTTGGATCTGGAAAAAGATACACACTGAATCACAAAGATGGCTACAGAATTTTAGCCATAGGTTTTCTCATTCAACTCACTCAAAAGAGTTATTTGGCATACAGCCAGAGATGAGAAAACTACAGAAATCTCAACTGCAGAGATATTACCTCGCCACCGAGGAGAGAGGAGGGACGTATGACAGTGAGTGCACCCTCCAAGAATTCAATTGAGCGTCCATACATTCCTTTCCCGTACGCCCTTTGCCCCAATTCAAACATTTGCTTCGCCGTCTCCCTCCTTTCCGCCTGCTCCTTCGCCACCTGCAAAGCTCACGCAACAAAATGATTTTGCCTCACTCTGTTGTGCAAACAGCTAAAATTACAACCACGTAGGTGCGTCACAAATGGTCGAGAACATGTTAAACTTGTTGGGGTAGTAGTAATAGCTTGCACGCGTATTGGTATCTGTGTTTGGTGAGGAAGACAGGCAGTTTGCATGTTCCTCTCGATTATACCTCCCTTGCCGTTTGGCTGGCGTGTGCAGTGAACTAGACAACAACTAATGACTAGTGAGTGTCTGTACTCTGTAGGCGAGCTCTAAAGTGCTAAAGGTTAAGAGTAGTAGGACCTTCTGGAGCTCGCGGCGGACACGCTCGCGCTTCTCCTCCTCCGACTCCTCGGGGGCCTCGGCGGCGGCCTGGCTCTGCAGCTGCTCGGCGGTGCGCTCCAGCTCCTCCATCTCCTCGGCCTCCTTCAGTCGGCGATTCAGCTCCGCCTCCCACTGCCTCTGCGCCTCGTCCTCAGATAGCTCCCCGGGCTCGTCACCGCCTCCCGAGGCGGAGGCGGCGAACCTGGCCACGTGGCCACGGCGGTCGTCGCGATTGCGTGAAACACGTGCGGCCGCGCCGGGCCAGACCGGCGCGCGCGGCAGGGGCTTGGAGGCCCAGTTGCGAAGGCAGAGGTGCGTCCTCCGGCGGCGTATGGCGTGGTGGGCCCCCAGGCTGGCGGCTTCGCCGAGGAGGAGGCCGGCGGCGCCCATCGCCGGAATGAAGAGGCCAAGAGGGGGGTGATAACTGAAAAGGGAGCAAAAACAAAAATGAACAATCTCCTCTTATTTTCTGCATCAACGAATTAGATATAGCTTCGAAATGGAACCTTCCGCACGGCATTAGAGTGTATGACACGTGGGTCCAGCCGGTGCAGATTTTTTTTCGCGGGAGGCAAGCGAAGAAAGAAATGGCGCGGACGGTAGCAGGAGATTGGTGGCGGTGACATTTCTGCGGGTGTGGCCATCTCCGACCACCCGTCGCTGGTCGCTGCTGCAACTGCAACTCTGCGAGGCGGACGTCCTCTCCCTCAAGTCGAGCTAAAAGCATTGGCAATGGCAAACGCCGTGGCATATCAATCAGCACTAGCCAGGCCAACTGGTCCGATTACGACACGTGGAGAGCTTTAAGTGAACAGTTACTGAATCACCTGAAATTTGTGAAGATCGGGATGAAAATGGAAATAGTTACAGAACGAAAGGATTGAACTAATAGCTTGTATTGATCAATCTATGTATATACACGTCAAAAGACAGTCAAAAGAGGCGGGACACATTTCCTCGAGTGAGTTATCTTTACTTGGTGTGAAAGCGTACGTATCCTAGTAGCTGCAAGTGCTTTAGTAACAATTTCAGGTTTTGAATTTAATTTCTTGTGGGGGTAAATTTGGACTAGTAAAAAAAATCTCATCGCCAACAAAACCAAAGTTCGGGAGTTTTATCGGCACGTAAGGTTGAGATCTTCTACCTTAGTAGCAATACCGTGAAGGTCATGCCTCCGACAAGTTAGGGTTTTTTTTTCTTTATTACTCAGGGTCATCAAACTCATTTTTTAAGATGTGTCCATTCACAATCTTCTCTTTTGATAGAACAAAATCTTGCTGGAGATCAATGCATTGAAAATTCCTTTACAAAATCCATGCAAAAAATATAAGGAATGTATTGAAATGCCATAAACTCCTTTCGAACTCCATGGGGGAAAATAAATAGAAAAATGATATGTCATTTGTAAGCTATGTTTAATTTAAATACATGTGAGAAATCTTATGGGAATAGCCTCATAGACATGTTTAAAGAACAATGTTGTGATGTATAAAATCAATATGTCTATGATACTCCCTTTAAAAACTCCCACGGGGAGATATGACATATAATATTAAACTCCTCTGAAGCTCTGTAGGAAAAATATGCAGTTGAAACTTCTGTAAAATCAAATGGACAAAAAACAGGAGAAACCGATAGCATTATTTATTATATGTGTAAGCTCGTATGAGAAAACAATCCTAATAGAATTTTGAGAACACTAATATAGTAGTATGGCTGGTATATCATAATTGGAATAATAATCCACCAAAAACCAATGGGAAAAACATAACAAGTATTGATAGGCTCTTTCTCAAAAACCCTTGTGGGGAACTATAAGATATGAAAAATAATATGTCTTGAATGTAAGAAATTTAGGCATAATTTATCAATTTCAATGTAAAAAATATAAAGGCTAACATGGGGGAGGGGGAGTAGTCTTAACCCCTGAAGCAACCCTAAATCACAACATGCTGCAAATTTGGAGGGGGTAATAGAGTGCACAATCAGGTTTAGAATAGATAGACATACTATCAATAAGGGAGCTCTAAAGCTAATATAGTTATCTAGTGCCACTAGGTAATGACTTACATTGCATTAGCATTAGACCTAGATCTTTTTGAAGGGGGTAATTACTTACATTGGCACTAGCTCTAAAGCAAGTGAAAACCTTTTGAAAACGATCAAATTAAAACTAAATCAACTAGATCTTTTTCAGCAATTGTCAAATTAAAACATTGGTTTTTAATATCTCTAATCTTTTATCACAATCAAGGACAAACTCATCAGTATTCACACACTTACTCAGACGATATCACTGGTTTTTATTGTAAGAGTGTTCATAAATTTTTTATTCCAGTTGTGCCCAAGAACCAACGGAGCAAGATTGCAGTTAAGAATACCATGAAACAGCAATATCATTTAGGGTCCGTTTGGATGTAGATATTGGAGAGGCTAGAATTGAATTGGGTTCAATACCAAAGCAGCCATGGTATTGAAATGGCCACAATTCAAATATTATCGTCTGGATGACCATTGAATTAGCTTTTGGAATCCAAGCAAGTAGCTCAAATCCGTTTCCTGTTTGGATGCAAAATCATGGAATTGAAACAATAGGGAAGCTTTGACACTGGCCATCGTGGAGGGAGGTTGGCAGTAGCCCACCACGGCGGGCCACGACCATGGGGGAGCTGAAAGGACCTAGGATGCCGCCTAGAGGGGGGTGAATAGACGTTTCTGAAAATTAACACCTTTAAATACGGAAACGATTTAGTAATGGGAGTTTTCGAATGAAAACTCCAAATCAAAGTAATACAACCTCTCACAAGTTAGCCACAGAGTATATAAAAGATAATAAATAAGTTTATGGAGCCAAACACCTGCAACCAAAGAGTTAAATCAAAATGCAATTAAGTTTGGCACAGGAACCAATACCGGACGTGTCCGGTATACACGGTTTCAGTGGAACAGCCCCAAACTTGCTCCTTTCGATTTCTATCTTCAAACCAAACTGCAGGTACCTACTAGAGATGACAAGATACATAGAGAACCTGCATAAGAGCTAGAGCAACATAAATATCAAATGAAATGTGAATTGAGACACGATATTTGTTTTACCGAAGTTTGGACTCGTTCGAGTCCTACTCTCCGTTGAGGGGGCTGCGGGCGATCCAACGAAGGTCAGCCCTAGAGGGTACCACGAAGGTCACTCTAGCCGGAGTCTTTTTCAACTCCTTTTCCTCCTTCCACTAGTTGATTCTGAGATGGCGGAATCAACCGTTATAAACTTTCCGAGGCACACCACAATCTCTCGGGTGCTCTCCGACGACGCCTAGCTGTCTAGGACCGAAGACTCCAAGAGTAACAAATGCAAATCACGAGATTGACAATATGCATAAGTGCTTAAGTTGTTGGATTGCTCTCTTTTTGAATTTCTCTCAACCCACTAATGGATTTGGCAATTTGGATCACACACTCACTAAGAGAGGGTTTGGGAGAGTTGGCAAAGCTCAAAAACATGTGGGTTCACCAGCAGAATCAGCAGACTCCAAAGGTGGAGGCTTGGGGGTATTTATAGCCCCTTTGAAAAACAAGCCGCTATGTAGTCGTTGGGCAATACCGGACACGTCCGGTATGACTTACACTGCGCCAACGGTAACTGAGTTAAAGTATGTGAGGTGTCAAACTCCCGATGAATGCCGAAACTCCCAACCCTCAACTCATTTGAAAACTAGCCGTTGGGCTCTGGCCTAGAATACCGGACACGTCCGGTGTGACCAGGCAGTTAACTCTCCAAATCAGTTAGGTGTGAGACGTCGGAACTCCCGATGATTGTCGGAACTCCCGACGAACCATGTTAGAGGAACACCTGAGTGACCCTACCATACCTACATAGTCCGGTATGCTCGGTCACAGAACAACGTTAGTTTCTCTCTTCTCTCTTTCACTCAAACCTCACATAGGTTGGCTTGAGCACTTATGAATAATCATCTATCAACATGATGCATCCCTCTTAATAGTACGATATTCCTATTAACTCAAATTCAAATATATAACGAATTTAAACCTTTTGAGTTGATCTCTTTTAACTGAAGCCGTGTCTTTCAATCTTCATCAAGTGATGGTGCCAACATGTCGATATTGATCTGTTTACTTGAGCATAGCCATCTTGAGCACGTGACTTGATTCCATTCATCAAATATGAATAATCCCAAATGTATCAAGTCACTTCTATCAAACACTCCAATAGTGATTTGATCCTCCACATCAACATGACCATCATAGCTTGATTAGTACCTCAACTAAATGCAAGTACTTCCTTCTTCATCCTAGCTAGGTTCTTCGGCCACCAAGCCATCGCTTGCCCTTCACCCTTGCTTAGTACCTCGAAACATTTCCTTGCTATCTTCACAATCTCAAGCCATCAAGTCACATCTTGTGTTGAATCATTCATTCATTTGTATTGTTATCTTTTTCATTTCAATTTAGCAAGCTTCAAATATGAGACCATTCCATATGCAATCCCTCATGTCTCATTAATTAATTCTTATCATGCTTGCTTTCACATAGTACATAGAAATCCCACAATAAATAAGCCTTTGCATGAATTCCATTTGCATTGTTGTCTTGTGCTTGAACTAGATTGTTTATACAACACATCATTTTGGCTTCATTAAGCATCTGTGAGATAACTTATTATCTGTCCACACTTAGCAAATGGGTTAGACCTTTAATCACGTTGTCATTCAATCATCCAAAACCCACTAAAGGGCTAGATGCACTTTCAATCTCTCCCTTTTTGGTGATTGATGACAACTTGATTAAAGCTTATAAAAGGATATAAACATTTAAGCTTTTGGGTTCAATGATTTATGAGAGACTCCCCCTTAATATGTGCTTATGACTAGAATTCACAAAATGATCTCAAATGTCAATTGCACATACTAAAACATATAGGAGACTCCCCCTAAATCATTGCATCCGGAGGGTGCAAGTGTGTGTGACAAAGTAAAACCGTGATGCATATAACAAGATATATCACACAAGAATAAATATAAAAGCATCACATCAAACATTTTCATTCTAGCATGCATGGTCCTTATGAAAATAAATACAACACATGTATGTCACACATAGCACTCATTACATATTTTCTCAAGTCCACAAACCACTAAGATAGATTATATTGTCACATGAGTCTCAAATGATACATCCATAAAGCATAAGTATAAGTCTCATCTCTCACATGATATAATCTATCTCAAACTCAAGATACATCAATGAAGCTCAAAAACTACAGCTGCAGTACATATCTCTAGGTACAAAGATAAGCAAATGAAACAAACATCCTGAAGCTTTAATCAGTCTCTCCCCCCCTTTGTCATCTATCACCACAAAGGTCCAACAATGAC